TTTTTTTTTGGATATTAATTGCCACGCAGACTAGTAAAATCCTATATCGTATTGAGCACCTGTTTTTTTCAAACTCCTTTTGCAATGCACTTCAGTTGCCAAGCACACTATATGCGGAGATCGCCGGTGCAGCAGTGGTTGCCTATGGTCCTTTTACTCACAAGATTCTAGCAGATGGTCCCTGCTCTCTTCACATCTAAAGGCTGCTCGCAGCAATTATCGTCTGATTTGTTTTTATCTTGAAATGCTACTGATAAAATACCAACCAGCCAGTCATCGCAGTCGTGGTAAATATTCAGTTTCGGATCAATCGTTGTAATTTCATCAACTGTGCCGCTGAGCGTGAACATACCATTAGCGTCAGTATATCCCGAATCCATCAGATCATCCAAATCCGGGCCTGAACAATATTCACTCCTCTGCTTCCTCTTTTTTCAAACAGTATGGATCAAATAAAGCAAACTTTTCATAAAATTAGTGTCAGAATCTCATAAAATTAGCGAACAATTCTAAGCGGATACCTCGATCATTGTCATAAAGTTTCACTTTAACCCCAGCTGCAGGTTTTCCTTTGCACAGAAGCTGGCCTTTAACCCCCGCACTTTGTGTTCGACCAATTAACGAGCATACCTGTGATATCATTGATGCGCACAACAGTGCTTCATATATGTTCATAACTGAAAATTAAGATAACAGCACCCTTGTTAGTAAAGTCGTTAGACATGGAAAGAAATTCTTGATGAAGCGGCCAAAGCGAACTTGCATCGAAGTTTTTGCGGAAGTGACGAGCGCATATACTATCATTGTGAGCTTTTATGAAATAGTTTTCAGGCGTTTTTGCTGTGCAGCGCTATAGTGCTGCTTCAGCCAGCAAAAACGCATATTGTTGAGAGGCTGCCTGTTTGTATGTGTGCGTGGCGCTGCTACAGCCAGCAAAAACGCATATTGTCGAGAGGCTGTCTGTGTGTGTGTGTGTGTGTTCACAAAGCGAGTGCATTTTGTCACCCACTTTCAACTCGACAACCAGGAAAGCTGGGGGGCTGAAACTTCCGCCAGCAAAAACGCATATTGTCGAGAGGCTGTGTGTGTGTGTGTGTGTGTGTGTGTGTGTGCGCACTGTAGCGCTGCTACGGCCAGCAAAGGCGCATATTGTCGAGGATTTGTGTGTATGTGTGTTCAGAAACGAGTGCATTTTGTCACCCACTTTCATCTCAGCAACCAGGAAAGCTGGGAGGCTGAAACTTTGGATACATGTTCCTATCCCGTGTGTCGTCCTCTCGTTTTAAGATCTTTTTCCATATGCGCCCAGACCCCGCGCACGGACCCCCAAAGAAATATGTTGGTGGGAAACGATTTCGCGAACCAGGCAACGTAGAAAGCTGAAACTTTGCAGGGATATTTTCTATGCATGTGCGAACTAAAGATTTTAAACC